TGTGGGCATTGACAATATGACTGCCATTCCACTGCTCTACTTCAGGGTGAGCTCCATGAAGACTGAGAACCCAGGGTCACTGCTGTAACACTAGTTTGTAGAGCAAGAAGTAACTAGTGTTACTGTAACTAGTGTTACAGCAGTGCCCATACACAAGGTATGATGAAATAGATTAGATGCCAAAAGCTTTGCTTAACATAAAAATCAGAGTAAGAATGGTTTGGGGACTTAAGTGGATAAACACAGACAGACTGAATCACTAAAACCTGGATGTGTTGGAGAGAGATGTACACTCTTTTGAAGGTTAATAACCAAGACAAAAATAAATGAAATGGAACTTTTCAAATATTTACAATTGGAATACTGCCTTTGGCACATCTCAAGTCTATCCTGGAAAATTTGCTAGGAATATAGATTTGCATATGGGTGAGAGTCTGTTATGTTTACAACATGATGGAAATAAGCCCTGTTCTGCTATCTGGAAAATAAGTGAAAAGGCAGATGATTTGCAACCAGTTTGGGGACAAGTTTCCCAAATGGATGGAACTGATTCTGATGGGAATTATATTATTCTTTCAACTTCTTGAATATTGGAAAATTTTCAACCTAATCAATTAAGAGGAAAGCTATCAGTATTATAAAATGCCCATTCAAGGATAGAAATAATAAAAAGATGCACTGACTTGGTAGAGTGTACAAGGATAAAGTGAGATATTAAAACTAAGAGACTTAAGTAACAGCCTTAAGTTGTAAGAGCTCATGTTTTCAAGCTTAAAGATAGACTACATTTGAACAACCAGGAATGTGAACAATACTTTAAAAAACAAAAGACAGATTACAAATTTCTTAATTTCACTTCCTGCTAATGGATATGAAAGTCCCATACTATCATTTACTGTGTTTTCCATGTTTTTAATGAGGATTGTAAGATTATTTTTCTAATGAATAGTTTCCTTGGAAATCAGTTCAACATATTTGAGTTATAGAGACCAATAATCTGCCTCCAAGTAAAAATGATAATTTAAAAAATATACAAACAAAAAAAGCATAACACACTTCTCAAAAGCAGAGTAAGGAAGACAATACATGTATAAGTCAATGAAACAGAAAACAAAGGCATACCAGAGTGGATCAACAAAGGGAAAAGTTGGGCCTCCCCAGTGGCACAGTGGTTGAGCGCTGGGTTGCGAAGCTGCCCACAGCCTCTGCAGTGCTAGTTCGATCCCCGGCTGCTCCCAGGCCACCGGAGGAGGGTCCCACATGGTGCGCAGACCTCTCCTGCCGCCTGCTGCTCCCCTAAGCAGTGTACCTTGGTCCTTCTGCCTGCTCTGCTCCCCGCTCTGGCTCTGGTGAATTCGCTCACCCTCCCGCGCTTCTGACTGTACCCAGTGCTTGTATAAATAAAAAAAAAATCTGGAAAAAAAAAAGGGAAAAGTTGACTGAAAAATAACAAACTAGAATAATATCTAGTAAGGTTAAGCAGCAGCAATAAAGAAGAGGGAAGACACCCAGAAATAACTTTAGGAATGACAATTTGTATGTAACTACAGATTTAGGAGAAGTTAAAAAAAATAATTACAGAATAGTATATAAACCTTATACCAATAAATTCAAAACCAAATCAGTCAATTCCTAGGAAAAACACTATATATCAAAATTGACACATAAAGAGAAAGCCTAAATACCTTAAAATAAACTAATTGAATCAGTAGTTTAAATATTCCCCTTTGAATAACTTCTCAAATTCTTCCACAGAATCAGAAGCTACTCCCAAAATAAGTTCATGAGACCAGTAAAACTATTATATAAATCCAAACCAGAGAAGTGCAAACAAGGAAAACAGTAAGTCAACAAGTATATAAATCCCTACAAAAATACTAGCAAGTCAAGCCCAGAAAAACATAAAAATGATAATACAGTATGACAAAATTTAATGTTTCTTAAGCATGCAAAGGTAGTTTACCATTAGATTTTTAAGGATTATTTATTAAATTAGCAAACTAAAATAGATGCAACTACTTATTTGCGGTAAAATTCATTGTCTAGGAATGACAAAAACATGTTAAAATAACAATACTTCTTCAGGAAGTGGGCCTATAAAGAAATAATAAAACATTATTTGCAGATGATATTGTTATCTATGGGGAAAAAACCTAAAGAATCTACAGATACAATTAGAAAATTTTTAAGGGCTGGTTTATATAAAAAATCAACTGTATTTATAATAAACCAACAACAACAAAAATATGTAATCTTTAAAATATTCTTTTTAGAGCAACAACAAAATTTAAAAGAAAATAGTAATAATTCTATCAATGGATATAAGAAAAATTATAAATCTTTAGAAAATAATTTAGAAGATTAAAATCTCTGAGAGGAAGATAAGATTTATAAATGTCAATTTTTCTGCAAATCTGTAGATTTAATACACTTTCAAAGACAACTGCAGCAAATTTTTACAAATTGTGGGCCTCCCCGGTGGCGCAGCGGTTGAGCGCTGGGTTGCAAAACTGCGCGCGGCCTCTGCGGCGCCGGTTCGATCCCCGGCTGCTCCCCGGCCACCGGAGGAGAGTCCCACATGGCGCGCAGGCCTCTCCTGCCGCCCGCTGCTCCCCTCAGCAGTGTACTTCGGTCCTTCTGCCTGCTCTGCTCCCCGCTCTGGCTCTGGTGAATTCTCTCACCCTCCCATGTTTCTGACTGTACCCAGTGCATGTATAAACAAAACAAACAAACAAACAAACAAACCAGCAAACAAATAAATAAAGCATGCCTCTATTAAAAAAATTTTTACAAATTGTGGTAAACTATATATTATATAAAATCTACCGCTTTAACCATTTTAAGGGCACAATTCTGTGTCATTTAAGTACATTCACATTATTGTGTAACCATCGACACTGTCTATCTCCAGAACTTTTTCCTCAACCCAAAGTGAAGGTCTATACCCACTAAACACTAGCCCCCTATTCCCTCCTCCCCCCAGCTTCTGGAAATCACTGTTCAACTTGGTGTTGCTATGAATCTGGCTACTCTAGAAACCTTACATATGGGCAGACATATTATATTCTCCTTTCATGTCTGTTGGGTTGGTTTTTTTTTTTTTTTTGAGGAATTTGACAAACTGATTTCAAAACTTAGGGAAGTATAAAAAAAATGCAGAACAGTCAACATAATTTTGAATTATATTTGAAATATAATAAGACTATATATAATACATGTTATATACTAGCAAGTTATTATAAGTCTAGCACAATTGCAAGAGTGCTCTCTTTGTGTTAAAGATATACAACCAGAATAGGAACAAAATGGTGTAAGAACCCCAAAATGGACTCCCACACATACAGAAATGTAATAATATATATATTTATCTAGAAATCTCTCTATATATACATACACACATATTCGATGACATGAACAAAGCTATGAACAGGAATTTCACATAAGAAGAACTATAAATGGTGAGCAAGCATGTGAAAGCAAGCTCAGCCTTAACAGCAATAAGGAAAATGCAATTTAAAGTTATAGTGAGAAATCTTCTGTTACATTGTATTGACAAAAATTTAAAAGTCTGATAATACTGAGTGTTGGTGAGGATATGGCTCCACAGGACACATGCTGGCAGTAAGGGTATAAATTGGTATAATCCCTCTGAAAAATAATCTGGCAATATCTAGTAAAGGTGAATATTGGTATACTCCACAACCCAGCTATTTCCCTCCTAAGTAACATATTGAGCAATGTTTTTCAAACAACACATTGCAAATCATTAATGGGGTGTGAAATCAGTTTCAATGACTGAGATTAGTATTTGAATTTTTTTGTTTAATATCAGCACTATGAGTAATAGGACAAGGACTGTTTCATGAAACATTTGCTCTCATTGTGCCTGTGAGCGGGGTGGGACTCTACAGATGTATGGTATCCATGGTGATGTAAAATGTGTTTCTCGCTCTGAGTCATGGCACCTAAATTTGAAAACCCTGTAGAAACCCTTGCACATACTCCCCCCAAAAAGCATGTACAAGATTTTTCATAAGGGCTTCATACATGCAAAATATCAAAAACAAGGTCAAAGGTCCACATATATTGGAGACTGGACCAGTAAATGGTGGTGCATGCACCTGATGAAATATCACAAGCTAGAGAGCAGCTCTTCAACTACACACAACTTGAATGAACCTTAAAAACAAAATAGTAGAGTGAAAACAGGAAGCTACAGAATACCACATACATTATGCCTTATATGTCAAGCTGAAGGACAACACTAAAAAGTCAATAAAAACAACTGAAAGCAGGGCCTCCCTGGCAGCACAAGGGGTTAAGCACAGCACAATGAAGCTATCCGCAGCCTCTGGCTAGTTCCATAGCCTCTGGACAGTTCGATCCCCGGCCAGCCAGGCAGCTACCCACATGGTGCAGCAGACCTCTCCTGTCTCACCCGCTGCTCCCCTCAGCAGTGTATTTCAGTCAGTCTGCCTGTTCTGCTCCCCACTCTGTCTCTGGTGAATCATCTCACCCCTGCACCTCTGTACCCCAGTTCTTGTATACATAAATAAATAAATCTCTAAAAAAAAAAAAAAAAACAAAGCAATGATCCTAAAGCCAGACTATCCAGGTCCAAACCCTAGCTCTGCCACGCATTACCCATAACCTTGGGCAAAATACTGAACCTCTGTGCCTCAGTTTCCTCATCCATGAATGGAAATAACTACTCATGGATATTTATTTACAGGCTTTTAGGGTTAAAACATGTAAAGTGCTTGGAATAGGACATGTATAACAAAGAACACAAGTAGCAATGACAGAATTAGCAATGTTTTAGTTCATAAGTTAGGCAGTGGATACAAGAGCATTAATATTACATATTCATGTATTTTTGTATATCTCAAATATTAAAAATGTCAAAAGAGTGGTTTGTGCCTCGACCAGGCTCTGTACATTTGGGGCCAGTCATTAGACACTAAGGACCAAGGATGGTGACAGCCTGAGCAACTACATACCTGGTTCTCAACTTGTCACCCCCAGATTCAGCCCAGTTCTGGAGGAGGCTGAAGAGTGGTCTTTCTTGAGACTGTTTGGTATATTGGGCCAGCAGTTCCCGCACCACAACCTGCGCATAGAGATTATTATTTGTCAGTCATTTATTAAAAGATGCCAGGGTCTTCAAATGCTGTGATTACATAAAGTCTATTTGCTTCCAGTAAACTTCTAATGTAAGACTTCATCCTTCCAGGAACTCATGTGACATTAACCCTACCATTTTTGACCCCACCCCTGTGGTCAACTTGACTAAGTAGCTAACTCATCCCTGCTCTCTCTCCCGCTGGAGACACTAGCCTCCCAGTACCAAACACCTTAGTTGACACTTCAGATAAAATCTACTTGCCCTCCCTGTGCCAGATAGATGGTTGTTCTTTTGCCTGTGATATTCTATGGTCAATTAAGCTTTGGAGAATAGTAATAAAATGTACACAGAAAACATTGTCCATTAGTCTTCTCCCTCAGTGGCTTTCACGCTATTATTTGGACCTAAAAGAATGCACACTTTCCTGGGTTTGTTTGAAGATGTCCATGGCTAGCCTGCTGCAGACAGAGGCCCAGCCAAGAGCAGCAACTGCTGGACATGTCGGTGAGGCCACCCTGTGCCAACCTCCCCTGCTGCGCCTCTAGCTGTCATCAGAGACCTAAGTGAGCCCTGGCAAGATGGCCGAAGAGTTACACTGTGTGAGTCCAGTCCAAACTGCTGACCCCAACAACTTCATGTTGTTTTAAGGTACTTAAGTTTTGGGGCACTTTGTTACACAGCTATACATCAGGTTCGTTTTCACAAAAAAACTGACTTTAAAATGTTTCATTCTTTGCTTTATATATACTAGTGTTTTTATATAGATTATATAAAAATGTTATATATGTTTTCAATCAAAAGTATGATTTTTTGGTTCATATCGCTGTTTTAAAATCTATCTGTTTACTGGCTGCATAATTTTCTTTTGGGGGGAAAATCATAGATAAATATTCTCGCTCAGTTAGATATTTGTTTCCAATATTGTGCTAGCATTAATAAACTTGATAGCAATATATTCAAACAGAATTATTTTTGGATTATTAACTGGGAATAAATCCCATGAGCTTGATTGATGGAAAGGTTCATAAAGAAGGACCCTGCCTATGAGAGGAATGCTAGAAACATTTCAAGGCATGTTTTCCTGGAGATTTGCTGGCATCTGTGGGAAGAGCCAGGGATGCAATGGGACAGTCTTAGCCAATGGACGGCTGTGTCACATCCACCGTTCTGTCAAATGCCACGTGCTCAAACACAAGCAACCAATCAATGGCCAAAGCTCAACATAGTCACACAAGGCTTTCAGGTTCTCCCCATCCTAGTCCTATGGAAAGATTCCCACTCCTGAGCCCCTTAAATTCAAGAGGGCCACAGGACTCACTTTAGACCAGTGACATGAAAGTTGGTGTGATATCCTCAGTTGTGACTGGTACATATATATGCCTGGGCTACAGTGGACAATGGAGGTTACCATGGTAATTTCTTGTATAGATGCAGGCACTGTTATCTCCTACTCTGTGATTATGTTTATTATAACTTACGCTCCCCTTTTGGTTTCTTTGAAATATTGTATTGAATTCTTGCAACTATGTGTCTAGATAGGTTATATTAGCTGTGATTTTAATTTCAGAAGAGTAAAGGAGGTGCTACAAAATATTTTTTATACAAAAGAGGGCAACAGGCTTAATGAGTTTGAGAATCACTGTATTATGAGTCAAAGGACATGAACACTTCTATGGAGCTGCTATAAAAATAAGTGTGAATATGTGCCTGGCTCTCAGTTCCAGAATGGGGTCTTATGCTATTTGCAGCAATGTGGATGGAGCTAGAAGGAATTATGCTCAGTGAAATAAGCCAGAGAGAAAAAGAAAAATATCAGATGGTTTCACTTATAGCAGGAATATAAGGGAACCAAATAAGACATCAGCGTAAAAAAAAAATTAACAGTACAAAACACAACAAAGCAAAAACAGACAATTTTAAATCAGAGACATACTGAAAGGGAGGAGGCAGGAGAGGGATGAGAGAGAGGAAGGGAGCAGCACAGGGGAGCCGTCCACATTCCCTGCAGCGCATGTTTGATCCTGGCCGGCCTGCGAGAATCCGACATGGCGCAGCAGACTTCTCCTATCTCGCCCGCTGCTCCCCTCAGCGGTGTGTTTCAGTCAGTCTGCCTGTTCTGTTCCACACTCTGTCTCTGGTGAATCCTCTCACCTTCCCATGCATCTGGCCTGTGCCCCGGTTCTTGTATGCATGAATAAATAAATCTTTAAGAAAAAATGAACAATGATGTAAAAAATAAAAAGATAAAAAAATAAGTATGAAAATCAAACACTGCCAGCAATGGGAGGAAATGAGGAAAATTAACCATCTCTAAAAATTAAAATGATATATAACTATCAAGTTTGGTCTCATTGACACATTACTAGGATTAACATTATTCTTTCTTTTTGCTAATCTGTTGGAATTTGGGTTGCTCTAATTCCATCTCCTTTTTGTAACATGAGCAACATCACTCTAAGCACTGAAAATTGTCTTCTCTGATTCTCATCCCTCCACACCTTTACCCTTATTTTTCTTCATAGCATTTATTGCAATCTGATACAAAACATAAGTATTTATTGGTTTCTTGTCTTTCTACTGCCTGGAAGGTAAATGCCAGAACATAGGAATTTGTTCATCTTTGTGCCATCAAGCAATGTGGGGAGTTGAGGAATCTTTCTTAAATGAGTAAATGAATAAGTAAATTCCCTTTCTATTGACAATAACTCATTCTGCCTGTTCAATTCCTTCATAATTTCCTTAACTATTACCACCTTCCCCTTTTGAATTTCAGCAACTTAAATTGGAAATGTTAATTCACTCTAACTAGAATAAAAATTTGAATGATGTGATAATTCAGTTCAGGTGCTAAACTTTAGAGACAAGAGAGATAAGTTGAATCTTGGCTAATATCACAAAAACAAATTACTTATTCTGGATCTTTGCTCCTTTTTCTTTCCATTTTGCTCCTTAGTTTTGGCATCTTCCCTCTTTTTCTGGGTCATGAGACAACAAAACGTGATTTAAGAAATGAGTTTATTTTCTGCTATGGATGCTCCCGTAGTGAAAGATTAAATAATTGAAGCCATCATCTACCATGGAGTTTGGAATTACAGACTCTAAGTCCAATACTTTATCTGATAAATGACTAAAGAGGGGCAAAGACAGATCAGTCACCATCTCCACTGAGCATGTAACAAAGATGGTAATGTTTTCACCCCATCGATGTGTTCCTCAGTGCATTATAAAATGCTGCATTACATATGTATATTTATATATATAATCTTTTAACTTTCTGTTTAAAAATTATAAATCCATAATAGTACAAAATTAAGAGACCAGAGAGGCTTGGTCTAGTTACTACCCACACTCTCCAAAAATGGTATCTTACATTGTAATAGTGATTATCAAAACCAAGAAAATCAATAAAATTGTTACATATTAAATGCTTTGCTTAGAGTGGAGATTTCATTTATTTAAATGAACCAAGTAGGGCTTCCCTGGTGGTGCAAGGGGCTAAGCACTGCACTATGAAGCTATCCACAGCCTCTGCAGCACAAGTTCGATCCCCAGCCGGCCAGGGAGAAACCCACATGGCGAGGAAGAACTCTCCTGTCTCGCCCGCTGCTCTCCTCAGCAGTGTATTTCACTCAGCCTGCCTGTTCTGTTCCCCGCTCTGTCTCTGGTGGGTCCTCTCATCCCCCACATCTCTGGCCTGTACCCCACCTCTTATATGCATAAATAAATAAATCTTTAAAAAAAAAATAAGTGAACCAAGTAGCAGGTCCTTTTGTAAAATGAATTTTTTTTTTTTTTTTTGCAACACAAGTAACTACATCATAAACTGAGTGTGTGGTGATTGTTTTTTGTGGTAGTGGTGCTTTGTGGCTGTTCAGAGTTCCCTGGTTCTCAATGCAAATACTCTATTTGTTCTTTATACTTGAGTAATTCCCTGTGGTTGAGTCCTGGTGCACCTGCTAAGGAGCCCCTTTCTTCAGAGAACTCTAGGGGACCAAGTTGTCAGAACAGCTATGTTCTTTCCTTTTAAAAAAAAAAGATCCCATCTGCAGTAGGAATCATGCTAATCTACAGCCAACTTTTGGAAACTATGAGTCTAAGCAATTGTGCAGAATAATGACATCATAAACATGCATTTGTAATGAATATCATATGCATCAGGCAACACTGATTATGTAACATCAATAAAAGTTATTTTCTAGGTCAAATGGCTTTTCAAGGCATCTGTGAAGCAACTAGCATTTCTACACACTAAGTATTTCAGTGATTTATGCCAGGTACAGTGAAACTTGGAATACACAGTCTTAATAAGCAGTGTCTCTTGCCAAGGCAGAAACAGCCAATTAGAATAGAAAACATGGTGTCTAAGGCAAAGCCACTAGATATCATTCATCCTGTAATAAGATGAGCCAGAGGACAGTGAAGTCTCTCAAAGGGGCAGTACTTATGATACTGGGTCCCGAAGCACACTTCAAGGAACTGTAGGCAGCACAGTGCAAAATGAAAACACAGGGGCCCCTCACCTAAAAATTAAGAATTTCGAGATGGTGAGAACAAAGCATTAAACCAAGACCAGCCTCGATCCTGAGGTAGAAACTGCTTCTGGAAAAACTGCCAACAGCTGCAGGGACTACTTGCCTGGTCCCGTTGAAACCAGACCCTTGCACCACATGCACCCATGTTGCAGTTACGGAGCATCTGTTATGTGCCCTGCACATGACTAACAAATTAATGTGACACTGAACTTTTCATTACATGAGCCAATAACTGTGGGTAGCACTTTGCCTGTATTCCCTAATTCTCCCCACATCCCTAAAGATACCCAGTTATCACTCCCATTTTAGAAATGCGGAAAGGGGCCCTCAGACAAGGAACAGAAAACTCACCCAGGCCATTCATGCCAGCGTAGGGACTTGAACCCTGGTGTCTAGAAATCAAACCGTCACACTACACAGACCCCAAAACGATGTTTGGTGTGGGAGAATAAA